CCGGCCGCAATCTTATTCATTTGAGCTAATCACTTGCCGACGGTAGCTTACTTCAACTTAATTGGTTTTAGAGATATTTGTTTAGGCGGAAACATCATAGCATCAGTAAATAACAGTAAATGATTTTTACATCGAATGTGTTTGTAGCCTTATTTGTCATACATACTTTATTACATGCACACAAGTAAATAGTTATAACAAAAATACGGACATATTATATCTTTCTACCTATCCATTGGAATAATGTTGGAAATATATAGCCTAATTTCTCCTTTATTCTTTATTACAGACAAGTAAATAATAACCTAAAAATACGGGCAAAAACTATCTATCTATCTATTTGCAAAATGCTGGAAATATATAGCCAAATTTGTCCTCTATTCTTTATTGCAAACAAGTAAATAATAACCAAAAATATACGGACAAAAACTATCTATCTATCTATTGAAAAGATGTTGGCAAGGGTCTTCAGTAGTACAAGGTTATTTTCTTTTTACTACTTCTTGAGTAGGTTGTGAATTTTCGACTAATTTACCAAATTGATGAATGCTTGAAATGTCGAAATGGATGAGATTTGTACGGCAATTTGAATGAATCAGAAACTAAATAAGGTCGCGCACAATTCCTAAGTCGGTCTTCTGCGTTGGCTGGTTAGGTTGAATGCCTTATGCGTTATCTGAGGAAACTGACTGCAAATCCTATATAATATATTCTATGGTTGGAAATCTTCTACAGTTGGCCTCACTAGGCTTATTCTTTTGCGAAGCGAACTACATATTACCAACGACTATGTATAAAATGTTTAATATATTATATATACTATGTCCAAATCTATATAAATAAAAATGAATCGCAAAATGTTGTTAAGCGTAAAACTCGAAGACGGGAGAACGATTCGATTTTTTTATATGAACTCTGAGGAAAGTTTTTATGGGGAGCAAAATTGAAAAAATATTGAAAAAAATTTAGTTTATGTTTGTGGAAAATAATAAACGGCCCAAATATAAGTCTTTCCTCCAACTTCGATTTTTTTCCCTTTGGAGTAGAGTCTTGGGCCGTGGGGTTCAAATCGCTAATGTTTGATTCTGATTTAAGTTTTTGCCTGGTAGATAAGTACCGGTGATCACAGAGCTGGTGCTTTCCTCGCTCAACGAATAAGTATTGCAATACAGCGAGGAAATGCTGCCAGCGTTAAATATACACTACCACAGGGACCAAACTTTTTAAATTTATTTTATTTTCTTTTTCATAAATTTTTAATTATTACTATTTAGATTAAGAAACTTGTAAATACTGTATATTTGATTGTTAATTGTTATGTTCAGCTACATGATTGAAATGTTTTATTTAGTAGGATAGGTAGTAGGTAGGTTTTGATTCCTTCAAACCGAACAAGGGTTGGCATGGCACACAGCCAAATGTTCTATATATGTTGGTATGTAGCTACTAAAAAGGTAGGCTAAGTAAGAAAAATATAATAAAGCGAAACGAAGTTTAAAGAAAAAGATAGAGCATTCTGGGCTCCTCATGGCAGAAAGTATAGGGTGATGCTGGAGCGGGTACAAAACAAATTCATCAGGCACCTGTATTATAGAATGTGCGCCGAGGATTTGCGCTTATGATGTATCTTATAAAGTCGTTACGTGGAAAGGAAAACAATTTCAGTGTCTAGGCCTCAGGGTGCCTGGTGGTTTCGTAAGAGGCTACACGACCGCCTTTACTATTCGTATTAAAACTATCCTCTCGAAACGGGCACACACAATGTATGGAAATAATTAATGAACTGCACAGATTAACAAACATCTTGATGTAATATTTAAATTTCGCGCCTTTTCTCCATAGACTTGAGTTGTTTATGTCAAGTCTGTTTCTCGTTTGCCTTTGTCCTTCTATGCTACTCAGTGAACATTACTAGCCGATGTATTGTTGTATAAAGAAGAAGTTATTTTCACATATCAAACAACTTGTTTCCAATAAATCTTAACACGTTTTTTATTGTCCATTGACTGACAAAAGATCTGTTTCATGTAAGAAATAGTCATTTTTGTAAATTTTTCATGTATGTAAATCTTAAATGTTGTTTTTTTCTACTAGTATGTATTGTTTTGTATGTCATATAAATGTAAATAGCATTGGAGGAATCTCTAATCTTATTTTGTTAAAATAAAAATAAATAAAAGGTTTCATTGAAAATACATTTAACTTATACCATTCAATTCGAAATTAACTTTCAAATCAAATAAAGTATTATTCGTGAGGCATCACAAGAAACTCGAAGCGAAAACAAATTGAGTTACGTCGATGTCTTCATTAACTTTTTGCTCCAGAAAGGGGTTGAATGTGGCTTTGTCATGTTCCTGAGATTCCTTGAGAATAATCGAAACGGACCTTTTATAAACGAATACAAATTATATTATTGGGTCATAAAGCTGCATAATATCGAATAAACAGTGATTCTTGTTAAACATTCTGTTTTAAAACAAAATTTGAATTTTGTAAAACAATTGTTAGTACAAGTCCTGACCTTTCATCTCTTTTCTTTTAGATCCTAGAACTATTTATAGGTACTCAATTTCATTGCAGGTCTTATTATCAGAGCCTAAGATTTGACCTCACGGTTACAATGAGTTAAAGATAACTTTTTCAGTAGGTATATTAACAAATATACATATATAATAATGAAATACTACAAACATACGCCGTATGTATAGATACTTTTGGCTCCTTCGTACTAAACATTTCTTTTAGGTTTCTTTTACTAGAAATCGAACGTAGTACCTATACCGTGTTTGGTTTCATGATTTTTTCATATAAAGCTGGCCTAAACTCTAAGTTTATTTACGTAATAACTACTACGTTTAAATAGATCTTAATGGAAATAGTGGTAATTATAAACAAAACTATGCAACGAAACAAAGCGAGGTCAGGAAAATACAGTTATTAGCTACTTGGGACCAAAAACCACAGAGTAATCGCAAATAACCATCATCTTCTAAACCACAAACATTTTCGACAATTCGGGACAACTACTTCATAATTATGAAAAGAATCGTATCAAAAAAATGTACGTTTTCGAATCGTCGAATTTCTAAAACGTATAAAATATCTCTGGTAAAGCTACCTACATATGTGTGAAATATCGTGTCGTATTTTCGCGTTTAATACTTATAAAGCCGGCCAGTCCCTTTCACAGGGTTAGATTTTCTTTCATTCTAATGGCGAAAGAATTGAAACCGGTCCACAAGCTTTTAAGTTTATTCGTTAAAAAATATATATTTATGTAGGAAAATACTACTGATTTCCAAATGCTACTGTCCTGACATATCTCTCTCGCTTCATCCACTTTCATATACATTGACTCGTTGGTTGTGAGTACTTTTAACTTGTCCCTTCTATAGTACGTCCAGGTATGTACGACAAGGCCTACCCAAACTGACTTCAGCATCCACCGTTGATCCTACCTATGTATATCCAGATCCTACTTGTTAGCCGCTTCTTGTTCCAAACCAACGAAGCATTCCATCTCGTATCCTTGACAATTATGTCCCTTATATCCCAATCGTTTCAAACACACCAATATTTTTTCTTTAGAACATTAGTATGTATTGAAACTATTGTTGTCGTTGATTTTACAAATAGTCAAGAAACGATCATATTAATTATTATTATTATTTTTACAAATTTTCTCTGCACAAAGACACAATTCAACATTACGATGTAGCCTAACTTAAGATTAATAAGTAATTTAAGTTTACCCTAATTTACTAAAAAGGATATTTATCATAAGAAAGTGTCCAATAACACTACTTACAGTCTCCATTAAGGGGAAGACACTCTGTTCTTGTGTACTATTTTTTATTGTATTAAAATTGATTTAATAATTTACACGTGAGAAGGTTACCTGAGAATCTATTTGTTCAAAATTACAGCTTCGGACGGAGTCCCGTATTCTGTAATCATTTTCGAACTCAAGAGCGGTTTCACATCGGGGTCGCTCTCAAATCAGTCGTGAAGCAGTCATTTTATGATTTGTCATTCTGAAAAGGTGGGAGCTTGAAGTTTATTGTTTATCAGAATGCCAAATCATAAAATGACTGCTTCACATATTTGAGAGCGACCCCGATGTGAAACCGCAGTGTGAGTTCGAAAAGTGAGTTACAGAAAGCAGTATTCGCTGCGCTGTTAAGTCAAGTCAAGTAAGAAGTCAGTGTTGTTAAGTTACGTGTTATCTTGCGTAAGTTAACAAAATATTTCGTCATCCAATTTTGTTATCCAGAGGAATACTTCAAACAATTATTTAAATTGCGATCACGCTGGACGTGAAAAGTGCTCTAATAATTTAGCAAATCGGAAGGTAATTGTCTTGGAAGAATAGACAAATAGAATATCCGATTGCGGTTTCTTAACAGTCTCATTGGTTGTGAATGGAGCTACTAAATTTGAAAATAATACTGGCCAGTTACTTTATAATATTTGAAATTTCTGAGTAAAACTAAAAAACTGTAAAACTCTATGGTTTTTACAGTTTATATGAATTGTCAAAGTTTATAATTGTTCTGTAGTTTATGAGATATTAATTGAAGCATTTGCGTAATAGATTATACTATAGCTTATACGCAAGCCTATGTGATTGAACAATTATTAAACTGTTGTGTTACAATATTTCATTCAAACGTTCAGTTGGATTTAATTAAGTCAAACTCATGTGATAGCTACAGATTCTTATTTGCAAGGATTATTAGTATTAAGCATAGAGGTTACGTTACGTAACAAAACAAATGAACTCTTGAAAACATCTTGGAGTCATTCGTAATCTGTGCATAATATTAACTTACGTATGACTCATTGTCCTATAACCCTTAGATGGGGCAGAGGGCGTCCACAGTGAGTCTCCGTCGCGTTCGGTCTTGAGCCTCGCTTCAAGTCTTTCCGGCTCTCTTCGCCTCATCTGCAACTGTATGACGCCAAATGTAAAGCGCCCGCTTGGGGACACGATTGGACTATCTTCGGGGTGAATGGCCTATCCTTACGACGCATGATCTGCTGGCTATCCGGGGTTTCTCGGCAGCGCTTCCAAAGTTGTCGGGCCAGTAGATACCCAGAATACGGCGATGACAGCGGTTGAAGAAGACATAAAGTCGGTGCGAGATGTCTTCAGTGATCTTCCACGTTTCACATTCATAGAGCAGCACAGATTTCACGTTGGATTTGAATATTTTAAACACGATTCGACGCGTGAACATCCGTGACTGTCATACAGGCCGAAGTTGTGCGAAGGTTGCTTGGGCCTGTGCGTTAAGAAATGTCTTTTTTTGTACCTCATAATAATAATGTATGTAGATAATATGTAAGAAAGATAACTTCTAAATTTTAACTTTGATTTCTAAGGTCAAATATGAACTGTAGAAATTGAGATATAAACAAAATAAAATTGGAAAATAACAATATATCAAGTACAAAGAGAAATTTAATAAGGTAATTGACAGTATGTAACATAAGAATTAAATTAAATTATTTTTTCAAAAGATTACCTGTTATTTTTAATATTTGTTACTCTCCAAATTTCTTAGCTGAACGTTGAATCACCTCGTTACGATTATGATTATGCGATCGGTTAGAGGCGCACGCGACTTCCGCGCAACCACAATCAACTTCACCAATCACCATAGACCATGATCAATGATGTTTGCTTTGTTTAGCTTTTGATTGTTTGTGGTACTTGCGGTAATTTGTATTTGTGCAAAACACTGTTTATTTTACCAATTTAAAACTTTTAAGGCGATGATACGATAAATAATAATTGCTTGATATTATTATTAAATTTTATGATTTTTGTATAAAATAAATTCGCGAACAATAAATTTAGCCCCACGTGAGAACTCATTCCATTTTTAAACTTCATCCATCACATTCGTGACGAAAAATAATATATTTTACCGCAAATCAAATATTCGTTATCGACTGAAAGTCTAGACGCCATTTATATTGTCTGCCAAGACGTTCCAATTTCAAATTTCAAATCTCGTTTCTTTTAAATGTCATTTGTTTGTCGATTCCAGCGCGTGCCCGCTAATGGAAAGCTTTACCGAACGATTGCTTTGACAAAAAATTTGGATATGTACACACGTTTATAGAAATTTCATCTTTATTTTTTAGGATATAGAGAATGAATTAGTTTATATCAAATTGAATGTTATAAGTCTTTTCCATCAACATTTGCGGTTAGCTTATCAGTACGCATTATTTGCTCGAAGTTTTCATAAAACCTTTTATTGAGTTTCGAAGAGTGTTTCGAATTAAAACATTATTAGTAGTTTTGATCGTGTTTCTCGATTAATGACGTTCGATTGGACGATATTTTATGAGTGTCTTAGGACGGCGTGTTGATAGTTTCTATTATAAATTCAATCAACATAAATTAGTTTAAATTTGGCCGGAGGATTCGTGGATTGTAAAACGTTCCGTCCCGATTCATTATAGATGTGTTCAATTATTGAATACTTTATTGTTATTAGGTTTATTCGTTTCGATTGTAAAGTTGTTTATATACTAATTCTGTTAATCAAATTTTTAAACAGTGCTTTAAGGGGAAACTTCTTCTGAGTTCTATCACGAAAAGCCGCAAATAATAATATACACCAAAAGCGTTTTTTTTGTAAATTTTATGTCTTATTTTCGGTCACTAATTTTCTCTTATTTTTTTGCATGTAATTTCACATGTTATTCTAACGTTCCACATGTTTTCTTAAATTAAACCCACAGTATTTTTAACGTATTTATATAATGAACTATAACACTTTCTGATTTTCAACAATTCAGCAAAAGCAGTCAATTATATTAAAATTGTTTGTCTGCCAGGATGGTCATGGGCTTGGGTATGTCAAAAGTAAACTGACAATTTGATTTTGACATACCCAAGCCAATGACGTTTGACATGCTAATTAATAAAATATTTATCCTTCAACCGTATTTCACTAACTGTTAACTTTTCAGCCCACCTAATATCTACTGAAAAAACGATCGAGTGCAGAGAGAAACGGAAACCATCGTCACCACCAAAGGTACTAGTCTTAATGGGATTTACCTTGGTACTGCTGTTCACATACTGTTATAAATAGCAAACCAGCGACAGTCATTTATATCGGAAATTCGAGAATATAGCTACCTTATACCAAGGCCCTATATTATTAAAAGAAAGATAAAATTTTGTATCAAAACGATGAACACACATACAAATGTTTTATTTAAATAGAACCATAGTTTGTGCATGGTAAAGAATTCCAATAATTAATTAAAAATAAACAGGAAATTCTAAAATCATAATCGTTACCGTTTCTCATGGCCATATGTCGTCATTAGACATAACGAGGCGTTTATGATCCGAAAATTAGTAGATTTGACTTGTTTAGACCCCGGCTGTGTTTATCGGATGGTAAGGAATTGGGAATATTTTTTTTTAATTTTGTGCAAAGCGGTTTTACTGATATACAAAAAAAAATTATAGGAACAATTACGGATCACTGTCTCCTTAATAAACGCGATAGACAGTCAACAGTCACGCACGTAGTCTTGGAGTGCATGGTTTTGGCTTACCAACGAACAGAAATAATGCCTAAATGTAATTCAGGTCTTTCAAGAAATGTGCCTACGAATTCTTAAAAGACCGGCAACGCACTCGCACTCTGGTAATTATATCATTTACATTATAGATGAGCCTCCTCCAAAAGCAAAGATTTAGCCCCTTGATTTCAAAACGTCTTTGATAGTCCAATTTTAAATCGAAGCCACGCGACAGCTTTTTTAGTTTCCATAAGTAGTGTGTTCACCAGTATCGACAAATGATATACTATATTTCAGACAGACACACCCTCTTAATATATGTATAGTAAAATTTATTCGGCACACCCCTGACAATTCGTTTTTCATCGATTTATATGTATTAATGTAAATTATCGGCAATCACTAATCAAAGTTATAAACATTTTATGAGGTTGTCATAAATAATTTTCATTAATTGCTGTGAGTAGTTAATAGTTTTTAGCTTAATTGGCTAATTTTTATAGTAGATATATATTTTGGAGCAGTGAAGCGCTGTACGGGAGAACATCGTGATGAAACCATATCTTAAACTTGCAGGTTTCGCTGGAAATAACTAGTTTGCGATTTAAAAACAGATATTCACCACACATAGACAATACACACCCTTAATGTATATTTTTAAGAACTGTGTATATACAGTCAACTCTCGCTAATTTGAAATTCATGGGAACAGAGATAAATTTCAAAATAAGCGCAGAAATAACCACGAAAAGGAGGGGGGACTCAAAAGTCGCGATTTATTATTTTTATATTTCTGTACATACAATTAAATACAATAGTACAATTAATCACAAATTTTGATCTGAGAAGTCAGATTACGGACTGATTAAGTGAGCGATTTCAGTCTATCATTGTCGACAGTGGTGAGAGCTGCGAACTTTAGAAAAAGCGTCGGTAAACAACCAATTTAATTATGTTTTCCGAAGTTTAATGAAAAATAGTATGGAAGAGTGTAATTACACTAATAAGTTACATTTTAAATATATTAAATAAAGAATTTCTTACGTCAGATATTTCAGCGTTTTTATTTCTGTAATATGATCGTACGAATGGTCTAACCATTAGCTAGATAAATTACCTTTTATTTTTTTCACCTACCAAAAACTAAGTTTACAGACCTTCGCCTCTTGCATAATATCAAAATTTAACCTCAGTCTTTCCGAGATGATCCTTGCTAAGCACGTGAAACCGTAAAACCGTTTTTGTCAGAAATAATACATAAAGAAACTTGAATATTGTATCACACTTAGAGGTTATCTTCTCAGTAAATAACTGTATACCAAAAGTCTATAAACAATTTTCATAAGCTAAATAATTCACTGCCAATACGAACAATAAAATCACCGAACAAATTGATTCCGTGCAGTCTATTAAATCGCTATATTAACAAAGCTTTAATATAATTTTAATGAAAATACCTCGGCGTCGTTTCTCGCTAACAAAACGTCTTTATCCCTTAACTTAATTTATGATATGTAATAAAGTTTCATACCTAAATATCAGTTAATAAAAGTTAGAATATGCGAGTGGCTGTCTGAGTTGTGCACTAAAAAATTAAACGAGCCTAGTGATGTCATCTTATCGAAATAAAGGGATGTTTATCGATAAAAATTATCATAAGTCATATTTATTTATGTATTACAATTTTTAACACCATAACGTATTATCGTTTTTGTTTATTACTGAAAATTTAAATAGAACATATGGAAACGGTGGTTTAACCATGTCGGTTCTACTCCCGCATCAATGTATAGATTCTATATAGCCACAAAAATAATTTCAATGAATAACAATATGTAAAATATAAAATAGACAGTACAAGAAAAACTATTGTCAAAGAATGTCAGACACATACAACGCGATTCATAATACACACCATATAGCATACCAATTTTTAAAAACCGGCAACGCACTCGCGAGCATTCTGGAAAGCATTGAAAGTGTGGGCATAGGTGTGCCTCCAGCCATTTGTAGTTGGTAATTATATATTACTATTAAAAAAAAGTATACGTTTCTGTATCCCACACATTAATATTGACCCTAAAATTATGACTGTAAACACAATCAAATCAATGTTTAATATTCATAAATCCATACCTAGTTAATCAAAGCAAATGAGCCGATGAAATCTTATAACAATTTATCGAAAGCTTAAAATTCTATAGTGATTTTACGAGGTGCAAGAGTCTACTTTATTAAATATTTGGTCGTAAAATATCGATATTAGCTGGTAATATGATGGCATCACTAGCTTGACGTCGATCGAAAATCATAAAATGTTATGATTACCATTATCATCACAAAAGACGCGTGTAATTGTTTGTCAAATAAATAATAATAAAACTTTTGATGTTTATTAAATAAAAGTTTAAAAATCATTCACCTTTAGTGTATAAAAATATTAACGAGTCGTTTAGCTAAAGTAAATGAGAATTCCCATATATCTACTATAGAAGGTAGGTAATATATGGGTGATTCTACAAAAGTTGGGTAACTCTTGAGGATATTTTGTTTATAATATTTTTTAAATCACATTTCCACAAAATCGGGTGGATATGATAGCAAATCTAATGAATATATTGTTCCAAATCGGGCCAGTCACTTTTTTCAGTAGATTGTGAGATATTTAAAATTTTCAGAATTT